CCACCAGAAAACCGGAAGTGGCGCTGTAGCTCAAGTGGTAGAGCGCTCGCCTTGAGCTGAAGAGCTGAGGGACAGCGCCCAGGCCGAGTTCAACCCCACGACCGACAAAAAAAAAAAAAAAAAAAAGATTACAGGCGTGGGCTGGGAAGGTGGCTCAGTGGTAGAGCGCTTGCCTTACATGCATGAGGCCCTGGGTTCGATTCCTCAGCACCACATACACAGAAAAAAGCCAGAAGTGGTGTTATGGCTCAAGTGGTAGAGCAAAAAGCCTTGAGCTGAAGAGCTGAGGGACAGCGCCCAGACCCAGAGTTCAGGCCCCATGACTGGACCCCCCCCAAAAAAAAAAAGATTTTGGGCGTGAACCACCAGCGCCTGGCAGCACCTGTTTTTTTGTAGCCATTTATTCTAACCGTGCCTGTATTAAACATCCAATTCCACAGTTCAGACTCCTCTGCTCTCCATCTGCGGGTCGCTCCTGGTCCTGTAGACCCTGGGGCCGCCTGAATCCCCGGCCTCCCCAGGTGTCCGTGTGTCCGGCAGGTGTCCAGTGAGTCTCGCCTGCCTCCCGAGGGCTCCGCCTGACGCTGTTTCCAGGCGCTCTGGCCCCACCCTGGGCGGCCCGTGTGTGGGAATGACCGGCAGCGCTGGGGTGAAGGGCCAGCGACTGTCACCACGCTGCCACCTCCCCTCCCACAGGGGCCCGGCATCCCGGCCACCTCCCACCAGGCCCAGCCCGGGGCTGTCGGGGGCCTCTGGACAAGGGACTGGAGCAGCAGCCTGTGTGGAAGGGACACCCGGGAAGCCTGAGGCCCTGGCCTGCCTGGGTACCGGACACCGGTCAGCGGGCCGCGGCCTGCAGGCTTGAACCCCAGAACACAGGAGCCGCTGGCTCCCTCAGCATGCAGCACTTGGTCCAGGGGGAAATGTGAAGACCTGCCAGAGTCTGAGCCACCGGTGCCACGAGGATCCCACGGGAGGGAGGTGGCACGCGGCCACCAGGCCAGCCCGCCATCATCGACAAGGGGCCTGAGGTCAGCGTATGCAGCGCATGTGTGTGAGACGGCACCGGCGAGGGCACAGAGCCCCAGGGGCTCGGCCTGGGGTCCCCCGGGAGCATGGGCAGGCAGCGGTGGCAGCTGCCAGCGAGGCAGGAGAGAAAGGCTGAGCCCTCCGAGCGTGCTCCTGCGGCCCCCCTCCTCCTCCCTCCAGCCACCTTCAGCCCAGGGGCTTCTGGGACCCGAGCTCTGGCTGGAATGAAGGACGCCACTGCGTTTCGCTGGTAGAAATCCCAGGTACATTTGGTAGAATACGAAACACACCACCACGTCCCAGTGATGCTGGGGTGCCCCCCCGCCCCCCCAGGAAGAGCCAGGGCCCAGGAATCCTTCTGCATTTATTGAGGTGTGCACTGCTGCCCCGGTGGCCAGCCGTAGGCTGCGGGCGGCTCCCGGGTGGGATGCCCAGGTCACACCACCTCGTCTGTCACAGGAATGGGGTTGACTTGGGGGCCTCCTCCTCCTCCTCCTTCTGCCGCCGCCGCCTCTTCCCCCTCGGCGGGCTTCTTGCGGGCTTCTGCCGGGGGCCTGGGCGGAGGGTTGCTGGGCGGCTGCTTGATGGTGCCTCCCACCTGCGGCCGCTCCTTGGGCTTGGGCTCAATGGGAGTCCACTGCTCACCGCGGACGGCTGCCTAGGGGCGCAGAAGGGCTGCAAAGCACCCTGCAAGCCTGCACCCCCGCCTCCCTGGGCGACCCACACCAGCAGAGGCCCCAAATTGCTGAGACAGACAGGGGACTCGGAGGCTGAGGATGGCCTGAAGCCACACAGCATGGTCTCCACGTCGCGGACCTCAAGCCCCAGCTGCTCAGCAACAGGAGCCCAGGACAAAGAACCCCCTGGAGGCCATGCGGGTGGAGGTGTGCAGACCAGCCCCGGTGTCCTCCTGGGGACTGAGGGCCTAACACTAGGACAGGGCCCAGGGCCGGAGGGCGCGACCTCGCAGCTTCCTCCCGCGTCCAGCACAGGGCGGCGGGCTGCAGCGCCTGTGGCCACGGTGCACCCCAGGGCTCCGGCCCAGCCTCCGCCACTCACCAGCAGGTAGATGACACTTGCGATGGCCAAACAGGCTGTGCCCAGGATGGTGGCCAGCAGGAAGCCCGCGGGCACGGACAGCCTGGGGGGAGGACAGGAGGGAGCAAGTCCAGCACAGCCACCAGAAGTGGTGGCCCCAGCCCCACACCCTGGGCAGCCGCTGGAAGTGGTTTGGGAGCCGCGGGACCCCAGGCCTTGGGACGGGCCGGACCGTGCGGCTTGACTCCGGGGCCCCGGCCACCATGCTGGGGGAGTCTCAGAGTCGTGACTGCGTGGGGCACCGGCGTGGCCAGACAGAGCCTGCCGGACGCTGGCGAGGGCAGTGGGAGCCACGCGGGCGACCGCCCCGGACGCTGTTCCAGCTCAGGTCTGGGTCTGGGCCCCTCCGCGGCCTGGGACCTGGGCTTTGTTAGGAAAGCGTCCAGGAGGGGGTCTGCCGGAGCCCCGCTCGGCTCCACGGGGGCGGCCCCCCCCCCGCCTCCCCGAGACTCACAGGAAGTGCAAGGCAGCCCGGACGTAGTAGTTCCTGGTGAGCGGCCCCAACAGCTTCACCACGGCGGTCACGTACTTCTGTCCACTAGACAGAGGGAGGCGGGCGGTGAGCCAGCTCGGCCCTTCTCCTCCCGGTGCCCAGGCCCCGCTCGGGGTGCCCCGGCCGCTCCTGCACGGCCGGCCCGGCCTCTGCCCCTCGGGACTCACCAGCGCTCCATGGTAGAGCCCCTTTTCCTCTTCCCCCGGGGGTACTCCAGCAGGCAGATGAACACCCCGGCCGCGCTGCAGGGCTCGGTTAAGGCGCAACCCCACTGGGCCTGGCTGCCGGCAAGGCCCTCGTGCTGATGTAAACGGGCGCCAATGTCCAGCGTGCACGGGCGCACGCGGCTCCGCAGGCCAGCCCGGCCTCAGCCCCGCGTGCGGGCACCGCCCTCCCGCTCCCCAGCCTCGGCCCCCGGTCTCCAGTAAAAGGATACATGGAATAGGCGCCAAAATACCACTGGGCAAAGCGCCCGGCGGTGGCCACGATGCCCCCGGTGATGAGGACTGTGAACGGACAGGAAGCGGTCAGCGGCGCCTGCCGCGGCTACCCCTGACCGGGGAAGACCCCCGGGCCGCGTCAGCTCCCCGCCTCCACCTGCTGCGGCTCCAGGCCATGAGGGCCCGGGCGGGGAGCCCAGGAGGGAGGTGGGAGGTGGGCAGAGATCCGGAGGCTGGCGGGGCGGGGTTGCTGGGGGGGACCCTGGCCGGCCGCCCATCATCGTCTGCACCCCTGGCCGCACCCCTGCCGCGCGGTCCTGCTCCTACTTCACCCCTGGGCGTGGGCACGGGGCCCGGCAGCGAGTGCCCAGCTAGGACGCGCCCCAGCTTTTCTTGTCCGTATTCTCGTAGCCTTCCTGCCTCCTGATGGCGGGGCAGACTTACGAGCCCTTCCTCGGGCGGGACGGAAGCTAGGGCCCTGGCTATATTTTAACGAGCTCCTCCCATTCTGTGACGAGTCCTGGGGGCCGAGAGCCTGAATCACGAGCGGCCAGGCTCCCCCAGAGACCAAGTCACTTGCAGACACCTGCTGCACTTGGGCCATTGCTCAGATACAATGGGCAGAGGGGCGTGGTGGGCAGAGGGGCGTGGTGGGCAGAGGGGCGTGGTGGGCAGAGGGGCGTGGTGGGCAGAGGGCGTGGTGGGCAGCAGAGGGCGTGATGGGCAGAGGGGCGTGGTGGGCAGAGGGGCGTGGTGGGCAGAGGGGAGTGGTGGGCAGAGGGCGTGGTGGGCAGAGGGCGTGGTGGGCAGAGGGCGTGGTGGGCAGAGGGGCGTGGTGGGCAGAGGGCGTGGTGGGCAGAGGGCGTGGTGGGCAGAGGGCGTGGTGGGCAGCAGAGGGCGTGGGCAGAGGGCGTGGTGGGCAGAGGGCGTGGTGGGCAGAGGGCGTGGTGGGCAGCAGAGGGCGCGATGGGCAGCAGAGGGTGCGGTGGGCAGAGGGCATGGTGTGGTGGGCAGAGGGCGTGGTGGGCAGAGGGCGTGGTGTGGTGGGCAGAGGGCGTGGTGGGCAGAGGGCGTGGCGGGCAGAGGGCGTGGTGGGCAGAGGGCATGGTGTGGTGGGCAGAGGGCGTGGTGGGCACAGAGGGACGCAGTAGGGAGTTGGCTTCTGTCAGTGAGCTCCTGTGCATTTTCCCAGCTGACCCAGGAATCCACAGCATTGCCCTTGCTAGGCAAGGTCTTTGCCACTGAGTTACATCCCAGCCCAGGAACAGCCTTTGAGCTTGTTTTGTTTTGGAGACAGGGTCTCACTATGTAGCTCAGGCTGGCCTCAAACTTAGGATCCCCTGCTTCAGCCTCCCTAGTCTGGAATTACAGGCTGACCCTCCACACTCGACTCAGGTATATCCTTTCTTTTAATCATGAATCAAGATTCCAGAAATTGGTAATTGGTTGTTTCTTCCATCTTCCTACATCTGGAACAAGATCTCTTCCTAGTTCTTCTCTCTTTCTCAAACGGCACTTTCATCTTTATTTTTACATTTTGGTGGATCTGCGGTTTTGAACTCGGAGCCTTGCCTTGCTCCTAGACCTTTTTGCGCCCGGTACTTCCCTCCGCTCTTCCACAGCAGCTGCTGACAGGCGCACGCCGCCATCAGCTCAGGGGGCCTCACAAACTTTTTACCAAGTCTGGCTTGTAACCGGGACCCTTCTGATCTCCGTGTCCCCAGGAGCTGGGATTACAGCTGTAAGCCTTTCTTCCCCCTCTTTAATGACCGAATTTCATTTCTCCTTGTCCAAGGAGGAATTTGTTGTCAAGTGTTCTAAGAAGGACTTTCCTTGCCTGAGCTCTTCCCTCCCCGCCCTGCCTGGCGCAGCCTCCCCGTGTCCCCGACTCTCCTCTGGATCTCCTGTGACCGGCACACGCTGCTTCTTCCTGTACAGTGTCCACACAACTTGTGTGTGGAAATCCCCACATCCCAGCTGCTGCCACAGGCCTCAGTCCCACTTCGCTCATCTCCCCGGCCCTGGGAAGGACTTCCCTGGTGTTACTCACTTCCCCAAGTCCCATTCCTGCTGTGTTGTTTTCTGTTCCTCTTTCCCCTTGACCAGTTCAGATGTGCTCACCCTGAGGTCGGCCGGTGCGGCCTCACCCCTCACAGGGTTTTACTTCCCCAAACGCTGTGCGTGGGGCTCACACCCACAGGGCGTTTCCTTCCTGTGTTGATCTGTGCCCCCAAACGCAAGTTTCACACGTTTGTGCTGGTCCTGAACTTGCTTCACCCTGGTCTGATTTGCCTTGATTTCTTCACCTGCAGGTCAAGCCAGTACCACGCAAACCGGGGCTTGGCGTCTGTGATCTTTCCCACCCTGTCCTGGCAGTGGGCCGACCTCCCTGGCGGCTCCCAGAGGCTGGAGGGGAGAGGCTCCAGGGCGCTCCTGCTCAGGCCGCGCCTCCCAGCCCGGCCGCTAACTCCTCTGCAGAACTAAGACGCGGAGCCCGGGGCCCGGGGATGCGGAGACCTCGGCTCCGGAGCCTGACTTGCCATGCCCGGCTGCCTTTCTGTCCCTGGCTCTGAGCTCACTACACATTAACTTCTTCAGCCTGCACTCACATAGACTCGTGTGGATGGGGGGGGGCGGGGGGGCAGCCTCCTGGCGTGCTCACTCAGCACCCGAGTGGCCCCATGCTCAGCCTCGGTTTTGCTCCCAAGGGCAAAGACTACCCCTGACCCCAGCTGGGGACGGGGTGCCTGAGGAATCTTCTAGCACATCACAGGGCAGGGACTCTGCAAGGGCACAGAGGGGACAAGACTGAGGGCCCAGCCAAGACTGAGGGCCCAGACAAGACTGAGGGCACAGCCCAGGAGACAAGCCAGCTCCAGACAGCAGCGGCCTGAGCAGAGGAACGTGACCAAAGGGGACCAGCTCCAGACAGCACTGGGCCTGAGCAGAGGAACGTGACCAAAGGGGACCAGCTCCAGACAGCACTGGGCCTGAGCAGAGGAACGTGACCAAAGGGGGCCGGGCGGGATGGTCTAGAAGGATATTTCCAAGCAGGCGTCACCTGAGTTAAGAGATAAAGGAGTCAGACTTAGTACTCTGCAGAAGACACAGCTTCAGCAAAGGTCCTGGGGCACACTGGGAAGACAGGAAGGCAGGAAGGGACTCAAATAGTCAGAAATAGAAATAGGTTTGTGATCCGGGCACAGGGGCACATGCCTGAGCCCGCAGCGCTCGGGAGAGGCGGAGGCAGGAGCGTGGTGTGCTGGAGGTTAGTCTGGGCTAAAAGAAAGAAGAGAGAAAAGAAAAAAAAGAAAAGGAGAGGGGAGGGAGGGGGGTGGGAACTACTAGGTCTAAAGCCAGGAGATGGCGCCTGGATGGGGCGCAAGGCCAGGCACTTCCAGGAACGAGGTTGGGAAGCATGGATTTTGTGCGGCAGGCCTCCCAGGAGCAGCCTCCGATGCCGAAGGCCTCCACACTGGGCGTGAGGTGCGTGCGAGCCGGGCACCACACACGCTGGGCGCAGCGCTGCCTCTACCTCCTGGAGGGCACTTGGGTGGGGGGAGGAGGCACGGAGGGGGCGTGGAGAGGAGAGCCTGGCCTCAACCCGTGCAGTGTGGCAGCCGCTCCGCAGCACAGGAGAGGAGGCTGAGGGCGCAGCCCCAGCGCGGCGCAGCCCCAAAGGAGGCTTGAAGCGCAAGTCTGGGAGTTCTCCCACAGCCCCTGCCACCAGCCTGGTGAGTTCAGGTCCCTGCAGGGGACACCCCCACCTGGGGGCCTCCACAGCACCGCAGACCCCGGCCAGGCCCGGCCTAGGCTCAGGTCCCCGCGTCTCTCTGCAGCGCAGGACCGGCTGCAGCCAGGCCAGGGTGAAGTGGAACTGCCCCGCTCTGACCCCAAAGCCAGTGTGGCGTCCTAGACTTGTGAAATACCAGACCTGGGGCTGGGCGCGGGGGCCGCTCCCCAGCCAGGACCCAGGGGTCCCGGTCTGGGGCCCATGCACGCTGGCTCCAAGCCTGAGGGGTCGCCAGTAACCCCAAGGCCAGTCCTGGGCCAAAGAGGACCCTGGGAGGAGGCCCAAGGCCAGAGCCCCCCTGTCCCAGGCTGCGGAGGACCCTGGGAGGAGGCCCAGGTCCCCAGTCCTGGGCCGTGGAGGACCCTGGGAGGAGGCCCAGGGCCAGGCCCCCCCCAGTCCTGGGTCACGGAGGACCCTGGGAGGAGGCCCAGGCCCCCCCCAGTCCTGGGTCGCGAAGGACCCTGGGAGGAGGCCGAGGGCCCCCCCAGTCCTGGGTCGCGGAGAACCCTGGGAGGAGGCCCAGGGCCCCCCCAGTCCTGGGTCGCAGAGGACCCTGGGAGGAGGCCCAGGCCCCCCCCAGTCCTGGGTCGCGGAGGACCCTGGGAGGAGGCCCAGGCCCCCCCCAGTCCTGGGCCGCGGAGGACCCTGGGAGGAGGCCCAGGCCCCCCCCAGTCCTGGGTCGCGGAGGACCCTGGGAGGAGGCCCAGGCCCCCCTGTCCCAGGCTGCGGAGGACCCTGGGAGGAGGCCCAGGCCCCCCTGTCCCAGGCTGCGGAGGACCCTGGGAGGAGGCCCAGGCCCCCAGTCCTGGGCCGCGGAGGACCCTGGGAGGAGGCCCAGGCCCCCCTGTCCCAGGCTGCGGAGGACCCTGGGAGGAGGCCCAGGCCCCCC